GACACAAGCCAGAAATTTGTGCGCTGTGCTTTGCATACTGAGTTTTATATCTCTCCTTCAGCCATATTTCTTTTTCCATTTACCATTCTCCATTGTTCCACTAAAGCATTTTGCAGATGTTTTGTCGATAGCGCGATTAATTATTTCCCGTTTCTAACGGCAGTCCTCTTTTCTAGATAAATTCCAGGAAGTACAGTACAGAGCAAAATAATTGGAACAGAAAATAATACATTAAAATCATACTGTGACAAAATTTGTTTCTGTGCTTCTTGCTGGTTGCTTGCTTAGCTTCCGAAATGTCGGTGTCAGTCTGCACGGTGTCACGTCCTGGAATAGTCTGTGGCAATCTCAAGTCTGTTATTTTTTCATTTCTTTTTATCACAAAAAATACACGCGGTTTCTTTTTAAAAGTGAGACGGGATAGCTCAGTCGGTATAGCGACTGACTACGGGCTGGACGACCAAGGAGTCGGAATTTGAGTCCCGGTAGGGTCAAGAATTTTCTCTTCTTCATATCGTCCAGACTGGCTCTGGGGCCCACCCAGTCTCCTATCCAAGGGGTACAGGGGGCGCTTTTCCCGGGGGTAAAGCGGCCGGTGCGTGAAGCTGACAACTCAACTCCAGGTAGTGTCGAGGTCGAGGTCGAAGTCCCCATGCACCTTCATGGCGGAGTTAAGCACAGGGACAACTTTACCTTTACCGTCGTTTTAAAAATAATCAGGTGGGACCTGTGATTATGGCCTCAGTGTGCCTCTTCTTCGTGGACGGGTACGTGTGCAATTGTTGCGTCATCATGATCAGCATTTCTTAATAATACTCTCCTACAGTTTTGTGAGTTTATTACGGCGACCAAAGAACGCGAACAAACACGTGGAGGGCTCCCCCTCTTCGTTCGCTGTTCCAATTTCAGGAACTGCTGATTGAGTGATTATAGACGGGGTTTGATTTTGTAATCGGATTATTAGACACTTTGATATAGCGCGTGACTACACTTTACAGTTCACTGTTACACACACATTAATATCCACAGCCAGGTTTTCACTAGTCGTTGCTTGGTAGCGGCTTCCAACGGCGGATGTTCTCCTTCCTCTGGATTCCCAAATTATCCCCGGTCTCAGCTACCAGCTTCTCACAGCAACAACTCACAAGGACTGAACCACGGCAGTTCTCTAACTTACTCCACTACATTGACGCTATTTGAATTGTAGACTTGTCCTGCTTATAACACCTCGGCACGGACTGCACAGAAAACAGCGTTCCTCTATTGTTTGAGGGCCGCTACCTAGCATCGTGTCTACATGCCACAATATTCAGCTCCATTTGCAAAACCTTTTAATTTATTTACGTATCGTTGTGTTTTTGACAAAGTTTGTTCATATTTTCTTGATCATGCGCAGGAGTTGTCTTCTGAATAGATGTCATGCTGCGAATTCGGTAATGGCTTTGATAATTGCAATAATTTGCCAGTAAATTCAACTTGTTTTGTGCTAGTGATCAAAATAATTGCCACGCAAATGCCTATGTGAGGGAACTATCACAGGCTTTTCCAGGAGGGAGCAGCAAGAACCGCGGATACTCTGTCAGTAATGCAGGACACCTGTCCTTCCGAGTACGTATTGGAAACTGCGATATCCTTTGATGTTATCATTTGTGAGAAAGTTGCATGCGTGGAAGGATATTATTCAAACTGCTGAGATGTGTTATACAGGGTTAACTCGAGAGTGGCTTTTGGCCGTAGGCTACAGGTCTGGCAATTCCTTGAAGATTTCCTCTGGTTTTACCCTCATAATCACCATTCCACCATTGCACCGTACTCATTTTTGAGCGCTCTCTTGACGTACGCGTCATCTGAGACCAGGCAACATATTATAATTTGGGACTCATTTGTGACAGGTCACAGGGTTCGTTATTCGAATTTTTGCAAGAGCGGTTTTAGCGGACGCGTCTGTACAACTTGTCACCGTCCTTGACGTCACGTGCTCAAGCACTAATATGTCCGAGGGACGCACAATTTGTCTCGGACGTTGCCTAATTCCGGTTCTTGTCAGCGGGACCCGTGACTGGTAGTCCCAGCGGCCTCACGTGATACGCTACTCGTTGTCTTGGTGGAGGAGGGTGCAAGGGTCAGGAGGGGCGGGGGAAAGACAGAGACTCATGCGAATGAGAAACGTAGAATTGAAGGTAAGACGATAACACGAACAGGCACTTCTGGCAAGAACTAATCGCTACTTTCTTTGGCAGGACATGGACCGAACAGGAAATGACGAGTACATTTTTTCTGTTGTTGCGTATGTATTGCAGCGGTAACATTTTTTATAGAGCCTTTGCTTAGCAACTGTAGGAAGGACACACGGACTGATGGGAGGGCTTTATTAAGTACGCCGTTGAGATGGGCTCGCGTGCCATGATACACATACCAAGTTTCGTAAAGACTGGTTCAGGCGTTGTAAAGTTGATGTGGGAAGGGACATACCCAGACACACAGACAGCACGGTGATCTCATAGATCTGCTTTTTTTTTTTATTCTGAGTTACCTTTATGTGCAATTCGATGGACTTTCAACAAGGCTTTTTCGTATCTTCAGGGAAGATTCAGAGGCAGGTTTAGCGGATTCTTGGCAGCGGAATCCATAATTACATCCATGCAGATCCATGTAACCACAAAGACTTGTGGAGATCTGTGTTTCTCTCGTCGAATATTTCCGGCTTTAAGATGCCCCTGCAGTGGAAATGGAACCCATGACCTGGCAGAACAATACTGTGACATGTAAACCCATTGCCAAGTTAACAGCTGTGTAAACAAGCGACAGCACGACAGCCGTTGCTAGGGAACAGCTCTGGGAACACATTGTTTCCCCGGCGACAATAGAATACGCAATAATGGAAGAGACGTTTTCTGTGCGGGCCGTGCCGGGACTATATAACGAGGACCGGCTGCCATTACGAGGCACACGGTGTTCACTCCTGCCTCGTAATCAAAGCAATGTGACTTTGACTTTGATTACGAGGCAGGAGTGAACCCCGTGTGGAGGCGGGGTCGAATACCTCCACCGTGACCCTGCGGGTCGTAAGAGGCGACGAAAAGGGAAGTCTCAAATCTGAGACAGTAAAATATGGTCTCGAGACCCTAGAAAGACTGCACTGGCAAGGGCCAGCAGCACATATAAAAGGCAGACCCGTCGTCTCGTTAGAGAGGGCGCCCCACAAAAACAAGACCGTAACTGTTAAAGGTAATAAATATCTGGTCATGAGCCCCATCTGGGGCTCGACATCAAGACTTACTGACTGACTGATCGTCAGTCGCAATGTGACTTGGACTTGGATTACGAGGCAGTCTTCAAAAGGCAGATAGAAGAGTATGAGGTTGGTGTGAGATGGACGCCAGCCTGCGAGGACGTGAGCCCAAAAGCAGGAAAACTTCCACTGGTGAATCAGTTGAGAGTCGCAGTTGTGAGAAGTGAGATATTGAAAGTTGAGGCCGGGGACAGATTGAGAACAAAGAGGAAGAGGAGCGTCTGTCGTTGGAAGCCGCTACCAAGTAACGACTAATGAAGACTGAGAAGAATTTAAGTATGATGTACTTACTGTGATCTTTGGACTGTATAAACTCAGTGAGACTGTCTTTGCTATTTCTAGTTAAGAGTGTGTGTGTATAATAAATGAAATCACAAACCAAAACAAACCCGTGGTTTTAGTCCGCAAGCGAACTATACCGACCGCCTCTGTGGTCTAGTGGTCAGAGTTCCTGGCTACAGATCCAGAGGTCCGGGTTCGATTACCGGCGCTACCAGATTTTCTGAGAAGTAGTGGGTCTGGAACGAGGTCCACTCAGCCTCGTGAGGATAATTGAGCTACTTGAATGGAAAAGTAGCGGCTTCCGGTGTAGAAAACCGAGATCAACGGCCGTGGGGATTCGTTGCGCTAACCACGCGACACCATCTATCCGCTAAAATTGGCACTAATTTCATCGACAAGCGGCGGTCGCTCGTTCGGTCAATAAATGTAATTGCCAGTCTTAAACCTCGTCTTTAGTCACAATCACGTGACAATATCAATCCAGAATCGCACAGCAATCATGGCAAATTTTGGAAGACGGCAGATGAAGACACCCAATGCTACAGAATTGAGCCCGGAAAAAGATGTGGGCGAAGCAGGTTTGCAGCTTCGCATCTGGAGAGCCGCTTAAGCGGAGCCCACTCGAGTTGCCTCCCGGACCAGAACAAGCCACTGGACCACACAGACTGCCACGCTTCGCGCTGCGAGCTGAGAAGCAAAGCTGTTCTGTTCTTTCTTTCCTGTTCTGAGTAAACATTACGACAGGTTCGGATTTCGGGTTCTCACAGGCCACGTCACAGAGTGGCCCGAACAATAGGGCGACACTAAGAGTCCTGTTCTTCAACCAACGGAACCAGGACGCGGTAGACACTCTACGTCCTCTAATGAGAGGTAGTACAAAGGACACGAATCAAATTGGTTCTAGATTTTAACAAAAAGTTCTTTAAAACATACTTGTAAATAGAATAATTATTATATAAGATTTGAGGCTTTCACGGCGGTGACTATGACGAAAGCAGTCTTCTGGGATTTGGCACCGTGTATATGTGNAGATTTATAAATTCATGCTCATCTCTGTAACTGTTAAAGGCTAATATTTTATATTCATGACGTAATAGTAGTGTATTGATGACCAATGACATGGTAATAGTAGTTTCCTCATGTACTGATGTGTCCTTCTGGAGGTGGTCGCTCCGACCGAAACATGTAAAGGATGAAAAATTAAAAAAAATATCAGCCACACTGGAGGGCGTTAATAATCTTCTATATACAATCTCGCCATCTCATTTGACGCTAATAACGTCTACAGTTAAACAAACGTCATTTAATACGCAAGGAAAGAGGAACGAAGTTGGTGCGCGCGAACTGTGCCCTTTTGCTGAATGAGGTTTATATACATCTGCTTTCAGAGCACCGCCTGATTAGGCAGTACGAATAATCCTTCATCTCTTGTCGTCATGGCAACGCGATGTGGTGCCCGCGCATGCGCAGGGAGGTACTGGGAGCTGGCCGAGTGTTGTCCCGGAGGAGGGTAGCGGCAACAGAAGAAGATGATCAATAGCGAGGTACACCCTGGGCGCCCACAGCAGCAGCTACATCGCCGTCGAAGTGACCACCGAAAGTAGAGGCCCTCGACTGTTGCGGACCGAGACAGGTAGGTCGCAGTTTTCTGTATTCAGGCCTTCTGCCCGTGAGATGGTTTGTGCCGCTGTTACCCTGTTTGTTTTTTACCTGTGGTGACCTTGAAACTTTCCACACCACGCGCAGTGCAGTGGAGGGCAGATGTGGCCACGTATCGAGGATTTCCTCCGCGTTCTCTCATGCCTCCTTTTTTTTTCTTTTTTTGTCTGTTAGTTCACGGTGTTTTCAGTATCTATAGGAAGAATGGGGGATTGTAGATGAACTGGAAAGTATTGGGAAGGAATCAGGCTTGACGTCATCAAGATACTATCCCGGAATTTGGCAGGAAGTACAAAGGAAAGTCACGAATATCCTCAGGAAGGATATTCGGTGCCTTGGCCGAGATGCGAAACGAGCAACTCCAGAAAGCGACACTAGTGCGTCACAACTATATCAGTTCGTTCGCCAACATCACCACTCAATAACAATCTCATAATCAGAATTTATGGTAGATTTGGACAAAATTTCATGCCTGTATACGCCGTCATTTAACCCGCTGTTGTCCGCAAGATTCTGTGTTTATACGACCGCTTGGCTTGCTAGTTTACATCTGTAACGACCTGCAATTCCAACCTCACCCCACCTCCCTTCGCGATTTCCCTGAACTGAGGGTTGTAGACAAGGCTTGCAGAACCGAGTGTTTTATATTCATGATGCCGTTGGAATGGGTACCGCTACCTGCACAATGGGACACATCTCCCTTCCGTTCGTGAAACATGAAGAGACCAGGTGCAACCTCACTCGCTCCTCGAGGCCGCATCTCAATGTTTTACTGTCGAAACTTTACATGATCGTTTTCGCTTGTGACGCTCCTGCAAAACCGAAAGTTCCTATCGAGTGTTCAGAAATCCTGTTTCTTATATTCGAGAGGTCCCAGGTTGAAATATCGACTAGGAAACCACATATCCTGAGACGTGACGTGATTTTACTCAGTGCATTGTTGGAAATCCCGGGATAATTTTTTGAATTAGCCCACGACCGTTTCCTCCCAATTGCTTTCCAACTCATTCTTTTCTAATAATGCCACCATTTCATTCCATGTATTCTGAGCTACTGATAACGTCGTTAAACAACAATTAAATAAGTGCACAGCGTTTGTTAAACATCGAACTTTTGACCTCTATCGCTTTATGCATTATTTCCGTCACATTTATGATGTATAAAATATTTCTTTTTCTCTGAATTTCCTGTAGCGTGCGCGGATCTGACTGAGAGGGCACACAAATTTTATGAAACGTTCTCCGTACTTTTGCCAGTATGTACGGTGGCAACAGTTGCTGAAGTGAAGAATCAATATGAGGGATTTGAATCCTCATTCCGAACTATATTTAACTTCACGAGGACACTTTAATAACTTAGAGTGTTAACCCTTCTTCAAAGTTTAAGCTACTGAATATAGTGACGGCGACAAAGAACAAATCATATCCCGGACGAAGAACTAGTATTCTTGCTATAAATCTCGGCATATTCTCGGATTACAGCGATTCTGAAGCCACTCCGACAAACACACGAGATCTGTGGAGCAGTGTTTGTTTGTGGCAGCACATCAAATGTTCCGTTGTTTTCCTGTGGCGTGTTCCTGTAATCACACTAAAATAGCTAACCAGCAGCTTCACGGAACTTGTGACGAAATTACGAATATGTTTATGTTGGCACCGGCAAGTATGCGAGGCGTGCGCGGTAACACAGACCGACTTCTTATCGACTGGGTGGCTTGCTCACTACGCAGTTGTGCCTGAAATCTGAGCAGATGTGTAATCACGAGTCCCACTTCCTCACGACTAGCTTACAGACCATCTAACCTGCTTAGCTATCGCGAGAGATCAATTTATCATACGAGGTAAAGCCACGTGACTCTACCTAAGATAAAATAGTGGCTACCTGGCAATAAAAAAAGACGAATCCATCCCTGTAACAGGCCGTGAAGGCCCGTAGGGTTGTGAGACGTCGAGGCTCCCACATTTTCTAGACAATCGGCTTACAGATGGCGGTGAGTTTGTCAGCCTCATGTGCCGGCAGTCCGGCCGCCCTTTACCCCCAGAAAGACTCCTGGTACTCATTTCTGTTAGAGGATAAGTCGACCCCAGGGCCATAGTGCGGCTGGAAGGATTAGGTCAATTGAAAAAAAAATCCAATGACATCATCGGGATTCGATACAGCGACCTTCCGGCTTGTAGTATAGTGCCTCAACCAGTCCTGGTGATCAGCCTAATTTGGGTATGTTAGGTGCTTCTTCAGATCTGGGCCACCGACCAGACGCACCTCACGGGAGGATCTGAAACAATGCCGCGTACTGCACGCCAGGCTACCTGCAGGTCTCCCTGCTGTCATTTCCGGTTGGACTCACTTTGAAGACTTCTCAAAGGAAAGGGGAGGTGAGGAGTCGAGGAGTATTGTTCACTTCACTCTCTGATGCATGACATCCTTCAGGGCGACAATTTAGTAGCGCTCAAAAACATGCCATAAACCGCAAAGTGAGAAAAACATCTTTAATCCTTCCAGCCGCACTATGGCCCTGGGGTCGCCTAAGCTTCTAACAGAAATGAGTACCAGGAGTCTTCCTGGGGGGTAAACGGCGGCCGGAGGGTAAGGCTGACTTCACCGCCGTCTGTTAGTCGACTGTATAGAAAATGTAGGAACTTTAACATCTCAAAACTCTATGGGCCTCCATAGCCTGTTACAGGGATAGCTTTACTTACTTTTTGTGGCATCGAGGAAGGCAGATGAGTCGCTTGTCTGTTCAGACAAAACTTTGACAGTTTCTTCAAACATGTATTGTTACGTTCAGGAACAAGTACAACTTCTGAGTCTTCTATCGATGGATAAATGCATTGTCTCTTTATAGTTAAGAAATAGAGGCTCTACAGTGGTTTATTTATTTGTTTTTAATCAGCACTACTTAATACTATTAAATTTTCCTTTTATTTGTGTTCTAAGATTTTTTTTTTGTCTTTTAGGGCTACCTTTGCTTCACTAATCCGGATTATCGCCTAAACCGGATGATCTCCCCCCACCAGTTACTCCGGAGTAGCGAGGTTTCACTATATATGTTGTTTTATTCTCAGTGAGTTAGACTCAACTTGGATTCGAAACAAGGAAGGGCTTCCTCAAAATGGCTAGTACAATCCCTGCAAAAAATACCAAGATAGCGCTTCTGATAGGCCACGACCACTTCATTCGAAATCGTTTGAAATCCCTCAGTAGTCCAGGTGCTTGCATAACCCACAGGAGACGCAAACCGGGTGCAGTGGCGGTCTCACTGTCCGACCCCGCAAGTGCCCAACATGGTCTCACTTCGCCGTGCTCCCTGCGAACTGCAGCAGTCCCAAACTGGAGGAAGCGCGACACAGCATGGCCTCGTGAAGGCAGCATTTCCCGAGCCCACCTTGCAGTGGTTATGGCCTCAGCTTAGTTTCAGTCAGTTCTGAAGGTTTCACGGCGGTGGTTAAGAACAGTGCTTGTAATCTGGTATGTAACGCCGTGTTACCGAAGATTCTACACATATTATGGAGGCAGCACATTCCTTCGAAACGTCCGTAACTATGCACACATTACATGGCGACAAGTGTCAGAAGTGTCCGGGGCTCCCCACGCTTCCCAATTTAAGTCCTCCCGCTGAGAGACACTGTACAACTTATGCAACTTGCAGAGCATCGGTAAGTATCAAGATACAAGCGTTACCGTGCTCAGTAGCCTCTTGCTTAGACTCTAGACGTTAAGATCTGTGCGATATGACAAAGTTTTAATTTCTGTTTTGCCCAGTGTGTTCAGGAAACTTAATAGCATCATAAAACGTTCTTTTCTTCCATGTTTGTGTTTATTGCGTACATTGAATTGGAAATAATGGAAGTGGTCGTGTCCTATTTCAAGACATTATCTCGGTACTCACCCATAGAAAAACAAGCGAAACCGCAAATAAACAGGTCAGTTGAATATAATAACCCAATGAAGGAAGTGAACTGCGTTAACCTGCTCGATTTGTATACAGTTTTGTACGCGATGTGAAAACAAATTCTGAAAAACGAACTGCCTTGTTGTTCTCTGCTTGTATACTTGACCCTGAATGTTTAGGTTTGAAGGACATGTACCCGGGGGTGAACATCCTGAGAGTCACGTCCATTAATATGATTACTCCGTGTATTGGGGGGTGAACAATGGCGCCCGTGACAAAGGCAAAGAATGCAAATTGAATTTTCTCGATTCCCGTGGAGGAGAAATATTCGTGACCCGAGAATATATTAATAGAATCGTTGAGTCAAAACGACGCAGTGTTTTTGTTGGAGACTCACAGCTGTCACTACGAAGAATACTATTTTATAGTTCATGACGCCGTGAGGTCTGATAGTTTATCGACGTTTTTGAGGTACGACTTGCTTCCATCTTCAGGATCAAAGAGTAAGCCAAGCAAGTAACTAACTAGAATGAAGCAGTAGCTAACCTTGTTTACTTATTTTATTGCTAGTGGGGTGAGCAACAAAGTCCCTTGTACTGCGGCCACTTCTGGCCTATTGTACCGGCCCCAGATGATAGGTGAGGGTGATTGTGGAGCAATTGGTGGAATGAAGATTGGCAGGGGAAACCGAAGTACTCGGAGAAAACCTGCCCCAGCGCCTTTGTTCACCACAAATCCCACTTGACCAGACCCGAGATTGAACCCGGACTGCCGTGGCGGGAAGCCGCGACTAACCGCTTGAGCTATGGCGCGGCCCAACCTTGTTTACTTACTTGGTTTACTCATCAACTGTGATTGTGGAGGCAGTAAGCTCATTCGAAACGTCGGTGAAATTGTGTGTTATTACACGGCATCATACTCTAGAATAGAATGCGTTTTCGATTTTAACAGCAAGGACACAGAGAAACACGATTCATCTGAAGTACTCATATGGTTCGACATCGTAAAACAGCCTTCATACGTGTCTCTGATTCAGCTATTCATTTCTTTCATTTTCGTATTCGTTTCCTTCTTAACTTTTT